TCCAGCTCTCTCCTCCAGCCCCGTGTGTGTCTCCTTATTCCAGCTGCTGCCCCTCTTTTGCTTGCTGTAGGCCACCAAACATCATGACAGGGGCCCAGGCTACATGCAGGTCCTCTACGCTGCCCAGAAAACAGGTGTCGGGGTGCTTTACACAGTCACTTGACCCCTGGGTGGGTGGTTGGTTGGTTGGCTGACCTACTGAATCTGTCTTTCTCAGTGGCACAAATGCCTTTCTGGCAAACACAATGTTGTGAGCTCGATCCCTGGAACAACAACAAAAATATTGTCTTTCCTGTCATTTATCTAAGCCTTTGTTTTCTTGATTGGAAAATGCTTCAGGATGAAAAGAAAAATTTTAAAAAAGAATAAAGAGAAAGAGATCAAGGAAGGGAGGGAGAAAGGAAGAAAAGTGAATTTCAATAAGCACAGAATGCAGAACAGTCTGTTTTATTGCACAGATTACCTAAGGTGTTCATCTCCTGGTGACTTCCAGGAGACTGGATTCCCTCGAAGGAACAGGACAAGAAGCGGGCCAGGAAGAGGCCCAGCAGGGCAGCCCCGAGGTCTGAGGCGGCGGCTGTGGGGTCAAGCCCAGGGGGGTTGTCATCCTCAGGGCCTGCTGCCCACCCGCAGCCTCCCTGGGAATACAGATGCCATGGTGGGTGCTAAGGTTCAGATCCTGAGCACCCCCTAAGTCTCATGTGCACAGAGGTGGGGCTCAGGAGGAAGACTGGAGGGTGTGAGGCTGTACTCGCTGACCCATTCACTCACTGCTAAGTGCAGGGCTGAATGTGCTGTTTGGAGGTGGGGCCTGGTAGGAAGTGTGGCCTGAAAAGGCGTCTTTGCCCCAGATCCTCTCCCTTCCTCTGTTTCCTTTTGCTTTCTGTGTCTTTCTGTCTCTCTGTCTCTGTCTCTGTCTCTGTCTCTGTCTCTGTCTCTGTCTCTCTCTCCTTCCATGGGGTGAACAACTCCCCTCCCTCCCACAAGGCCATTTCTGCCTTGGCGCTAGCCAAATCTGCATGGACGGAATCCTCTGAAACCATGAGCCAGAATAAATGTCCTCTCTTTTAAATCATGGGTGTCAGGTATTTTGTTCCAGTGACCAGAAAGGGACAAACAGTAAGGGAACACAGACAGATGTCAGCAGCCGGGGTATGCACTAGAGCTCAGCCAGCACGGTCAGGGCAGCAGGGCGCTTGGAGACTGAAAAGGAGCAGCTGCAGAACCAAGGACAGCGAGCTTCTCTCTGTCTCCCCGAGGAAATCAGCACAACACCTGCATAGCCACCAGCATCTGTACAAGCGCGACACACACTTGTGCATGCTGCACACATGCACACACATGCACGCACACACACTAGTAACCGCTAACCAGTATGCCCGTGATTACTAAGGATGGACAGAGCCTGCCTTTAACTGTGTCTGCCTCCTATGCCAATTTTATTCACAATTATATTAAAGAAAGCATAATTAGGATTTTCATATCCAGGTAGACTTTTAAAAGGTCGGAAAACAAGAAAAGGAACCAAGCTCTCATATAAAGGTGGAAATTCTTCATCATAACAACTCCACTTTAAAAGGTATTAATTGTACACTCAAGATATAACTGAATGTATCCAGAGATGTGTATGCAAGAGTGCTGGTAGCAAGGTAACTTGTAATAGAAATATGCTAAATATCCAACAATAGGTATTGGTTAAATCACGGTGTAACGTAGACCTCAAGTCTTCCTGGGCCTTTATAAATTACACTGTTGGAAAGCATTCATGTAAGCCATCAAGAAATACCTGTTTGGCATCTATAATATACGAAGTATGATCAAGAGAGGAGACAGCAATGTATAAAGTTGTGGCGCTAATATGCTTGAATGTTTTTTAAAATCCATAAATATCTATTAAAATGAAAGATACCAACATGCTAATCAATGTTAGGTTGGTGCTTTAAATATTTTTATGTATAATAAGCATGTGTAAATTGTATACTCAGCAAAGAGTAATATGATATTTTTAAAGCAAAGCCAATGCTTTCTATCCATCCACAATGGATCTGACTTTGATATGACAATGCCCTAATTAGGTAACAATTTGTAATTAGTAAGCAGCTAAGTTTAGACCTTTCCATTAACACAAAACAACAGCTAACAACTAACATGCTGACCACCGGGTGGCCGCAGGGGAACTCTACAGTGACTGCCACCCAGCTCCAGGCCTTTCCACAAAACCCAATCCGGAAGGCAAGCCCAGCTGCGGACAAGAGCGAGCACAGAAACAGGAGGGCTTCCTCTCCTGGGCACCTGGGCACGGTGCACCATGCCGCTAATGTCCCGGAAGGCCTTGCCGCGGACGACTGCCCAGCGGCCTCTGCAGAAGTCTGCTGTGTGCAGAGCCGGTGAGGGCTGCCCAACCCCAGGGAGGTGTCGATCCCTCTGCGATGCGGATTACATCTCAGCTACCCAGGGGAAGATCAGAGAGCCCAGGACCCACAGGCCCTTGATCAGGTGCTCTGGGGAAAGGTGGGAAGCATGGGCATCCTTTCTCCCAGGGAGAGAAAAGGGAGGAAGTGACACACTACAGGCAGCGCCCGAGCCTGATGGGCAGCCCCGGTCCTGAGGCCCCGCCTTCCCGAGGCTTAACTTTCAAAAGATTTTCATCGCTCTTAGCCCACACGTGCCAGGCTAATGATCATTTTCACGAGGGGATTCAGGGCGCGGACACGAGACACCCGAAGCCCTTTCACGTTTCCTCCGGCTCCGTCCCTCGGGTCCCTGACCATCTGCAGAACCTCCACCTCCCTGCTTCCTGTGATCTACCTTTGGCTGTGCTCTTTAGCTAATCCTGTTCACTGCTTTACACTGCACTTCAAACTCCCCGCCAGCCAAGGACACTGTCCTGCAAAATGCCTTCACCAACACCCAGGTGCATTAAGGGTGGGGTGCAGGAGTTGACCCCCGAGTCTCTGAGGTTGAAGTCTGGAGCTAGAAATGAGCTCATTATAACCTCGGGTAGGTTGTCAGCTTCCGGAGAACGTGCTTGGATCTTGTCTGGATTAAAGGTGCACCGCTCCGGGCTGGGCTGGGGCCGTGTTGCTGGGGACTCGGGAAGAGCAGATCTCACACCCAGCGGGTATTGGCCCCGGCCCCCAGGCCAAGCTCTGTGAACCACTGGGCACCTCTGCTGCTGTGCCTCCACTTCCTGGTGCAGGAGCAGGTGGGCGCTTCTCCTCACCAGTGACCTTAGAGCTTTCGGTCCTTGGTTCTCCTGCGTCGTGACGCTGAGCCAAACAGCCCACAACCTGTGGGCAGCGATAGCATCCAACATCGTGCTCGCCCCGGAAAGCCCAGCTCTCACTGGTGTCTCCGCCTCCTCCGTCCTCCCCTGGCTTCCCTAAGCCTCTTCTGCGCCACAGGTTCTGGGCTGAGCCCGTTCTCTCTGGGAACCTCATCGGGACTCTGCCTTGGCTCTGTGCATGACTCTCTTCCGCTGTCATCTCCAGAAGCTTCCTCGTGGGACCCCCCAGGGGCGGCAGGTCTTCCCCCAACCTCTAATTGTGTGTGTGCTTTATAAAAGTTTCTGTTAGCTAACGTCTACCCTCGTCTTAGGGGTGGGTACACGTAGGAACACGTCTTAACTCTTTTCCTCCCACTCTCTCCTCTCTCTGCTCCCTTCCATCACTTGGTTCCCTTTCCGTTCATGAAACATCTATTTCTGTTTCCCATTGTATTTTTTATAAATTCTCTGTGCTCTGGGTTTCTCTTAGAGGTTATGTGATAGACATTGTCTTATTTATGCCACTTAACATTATGATCTTAAGGTACATCCATTTGCCGACAAATCACTGAAGTTTATTCTTTTTTGTGTCACAGTAATACTCCAGTGTGTAAACACCACATTGTCTTTATCATCTGTTGATGGACACACGGGACAGTTCCAGATTTAGCTGTAATGAGTCATTCTGCACGGATCTCTGTAATATGATGAAACTTTCAGGAAGACACTGGGTTGAATGGAATTTCTGGTTTTAGCTTTCTGAGCCTTTCCCACCAGAATCGCCTCCTTATAGGCAGGCAGGCTATGCTGCATCTCTGTCCCCGCTGGAAGCCCACTCAGAAACAACGGACTGAATACAGCGATGGAGGACACGGCTCCTGTGCTCCATCCAGCTCAGCGCCGTGAGGCTTCCTTGCACTGTTTCTGTCCAAACACCCTATTGGCCCTGTGTATAAACACAGTCATCACCGCACTGGTTCTGGGACCTCCTTAGATATAAAAATCTGTGGATGCACAAGTGCCTCACATAAAATAACAGAACCTGCGTGCGACCCGTGCCCATCCTCCCTGTATACTTCACAGGCTGGTTCACCGTGTGTAACATCAGCACATGTAATGCAGACGGTGTAGTCATGGACGCCCAGGGTTGTACTATATCGCTTGAGGACCAACAAGAAAAAGAAGCTGGCATGTGTAGTGAGCAATTTTGTTTCAAACCTTTTCAGTCTAAAGTTAGTTGAGCTCACAGAGGGACACAGGGGCTTGAATATGCACACATGCATATCTGAAAATTTGGCTCCTGGGCCGGGGATACAGCTCAGTGGCTCAGCACCTGCTGGGAAAATGCCAGGCCCCAAGTTCCATTCCCTGTATCAGCAACAGCAGAAAAAAATTGGCTCTTGCTACATACAGTGTTCTGTGATCTTCAGCCTTCACTTGCACAGAACGAGGGAAACGTTCCCTCTTAAAATCGGACATGCCGTGACTGTGAGCCAAAAGCAACCTTTCTCCTTGTCAGTCTGTTATCCCCAGGTGTCTTGTTACAGTAACAGAAAGCCAAGCAACAGAACTGCACGGGAACGTCCTGACCTAACTCTCCCAGCACCACAAAGGTGCCTGTCCTGACACAGGGTGAACTGTGTGGGGCCTTCTGGACTCTGAACAGAGCTGGGAATTCACCCCGAGTGCCTCGAGGAGCACGGATGCACACTGCAGAGGATTCGGATGTGGTTACCTTTGAGTTTCCAAATGCTTATCCAGCTGCCCCGCCCAGGAAGTGGTCTGGAGGATGCAAGAAGGAGGCAGATGCCACAGTGCAGACAGAGAGGATTCCACAGCGGAGCTCTGGAAACCGAGGTCAGGAGAGGATGAGCCTTTTGCTGGAGCTCCCCTCAGCACGGGATCTCAGACCTCAGCACGGGCTCTCCAGCTTCAACACTGTTTCCTTACCCTCTGCACACAGAAACAATGGTTAAAAACAAGAACTTGCGATGCACGAGAAAAAAATACTTCCTGATTCCGACCCCATGAACACGCCCAGGCCAGTGTTACTCCCAGGATGCTCTGCGTTCGCGGATGCAGCCTGCTGTCTTCCAGAAGCAGGCACAGTGGACCCATCTGCAGGGGACAAGAATGGAGTCATTATGATAATGAGGCAGGCCCTGGCCAGGGACAGGGACACTGGAGCAGCAGATGAGGTGCAGGGGGCGCTCTCTGGTCTGGGAGTCTGGCACACAGTGCGAGATGCAGGGATGGAGGGTGGCCGTTGTGGATTGAGATGCTGAGTTTCAAAGCACACAGATGACCAGCGGGCCTGTCCCGCCCTGGGTGTCCCCAGGCTACCAGAAAGGCCAGCAAAGCTTTCGATGACAGGGTTTCTGATGAATCTCGAGCTATGAGGACCTTGTGGTGAGGACCAGACTTTGGCCACCTGAGCGGGTGCTGCAGGGTGAGAGAGTTTTGCTCCTTTGGGAGGAAACCAAGGTGGAAAGGACGCTTCCTCTCCACAGCCGGAGGGCACGCACGGGGCGCCCTGGGCCGGAGAAGAATTGGAATTCAGCAAGGGCACTTGACAGCGCTGAAATTTATGCCAGGCTGGGAGGAGATAGTACCCCACGTTTTTAAACAGTTTTGATCAGAGGAGAAAAATGGGAAACTGGTCTGCAGCTAATGAGGCCCTGATGTCCCTTTTACAGTGCTTGGTGTAAACTGCCAGTGCGCTTGTACTTTTGACAGCCCCTGTGTCGGGAAGGAACACAAACAGTCCCCAGTTTGTGCCGTGTACGGGGAAGCCGTGGAGATCCTGACCTCTGCTCAGGTGAGTGGGATGGGCTTGCAGTGGCGGCTGGGGCCGAGAGCCTGAGATAGTAACCATGCTGGCGGCTGCTCGAGGCCAGGGTCAGACAGGGCCCGACCTGAAGCAGAAGAGAAGAGGACACAGTAAAGAGAAAGTGAGAGTGGACAGAGCCTGGACAGGGCTAAGGACAGCCCCCTACCACAGGGCAGCCCAGGTCTGCCCAGCCTGGTGTTACCTCCTTAATCCGAAACTGCCCTGCACAGGACTTCGTCCTGGGTGGTCACTGCCGCTGTGCTTGTGGTCACCTCCCCTTCTCCACTCCACCGAAATCCACATTCTTCACCACCACTCAAGTTTCCTAAAATGCAGATCTGAGCCTCCTCTTACCCTCGCCCCCTCAAAACCCTCTCATGGCAAAGTCCCCAGTGTGGGTTGAAAGATCCCCACTCTGTCTGTCTCTGCTGACTCTGCAGCCCGGTGACCCTGCCCACCCACCCCAGCCTCCGCTCTGGTCCTCCTGAGCCGTTTGCTGCTTTCTTTAAAACAAGGAGGGATGTAAAGTACAGGACGCTGGGTGATACATAAATTTCAGAAAATGAATAATTTTTGTTCTACATGCACCCCGTAGAATATTTGGGGCATTTTAAGTGTTACTCACTGTGCACCTGAAATTCAAAGCAGACTGGAAGGTCCAGACTTTTATCAACAGTCTGGCATAAACGTGGCAACGCTGCCCACACTGGAGCCCTCCGCAGTCTCCTCTGCCCGGGGACTTTAACTGAAAAATGCAGCCTTTTCGTGCTCACTGCGTGGCGCTCACTGAGTGGGGGGCATCAGGCTTCAAGCTCACATCCCAAAGAGCCAGTTTCTCACTGGCCCATGGCTACCAGGTCAGCAGGTCCATCGCCAAGACCCCGGCACCCAGGCGGGTCACACAACCAGGTGTGACCTGAGTCGGTGAGCACGAGTCCCCCGGAGCTGCAGGTGAGAAGCACATACCTTCTCCCCTGCCTCCGTCCGACGCTGCAGGAGACACTGGACCCACAGGATAAATGGCATCAGGTCCCCGAGTCACGGTGACAAAGGCCACCCCCTGAGCAGTCACAGCAGCAGACACGTGGATGAGACGTAAACTCAGAGCAGGGCGCTGATATGTGGAGTTTGTTCGTTTCAGCAGCTTCGAGGCCTGAGCCGCCACTCTCAACCTTTGGTTCCAAGCTTCCATATCTCTCCTCCCAGAAGGCCTCAAGCCAGGCCAGAGTCCCCTCCAATTGCTCTCAAACACCCCCCTTGTCATTCTGTCAGTAGCATTTACTGTGCTGTGTTGTGGCCTCTGCAGCCCTGGCCCACTGAACAAAATGTCTGGAGGTCAGCACTGCGATGGTCTTGGCCACGTACGTGTCTGCAGAGCACAGGAAGGAATGGATGAATGGATGGATGGATGGATGAAGAGTCTCTATACTTCACTGGATCTGTTTCCTTATTTTTAAAACTGAGGGGCAGACAAGATGATTTCTAAGATTTTTCCCAGATCTGTTCTCCAAGTATAGACACTAACTGACTGTTCGGGGATGGGAATAAAATTCAACCCAGCATCTTCCCAGGATTTACACGTAGGTGCGTATCTCTGTGTGTGTGTGCGCACACATGAGTGTCTGTGCTGAAAAGCAAAGTCTGTTTTGTCTTCTGGGATTCCGTGCTGGAAGAGTGGGAGGATGTGCATGGATACGGGCCTCTTAGCAGCAATCTACACATTAGTGCAAAGACAGTGTCTACACAATAAAGCTGATGTCCAAAGGAAGTCAGAGCCAGGAGCTGAGCAGGAAAGGATTCCGACAGCGTTGCCAAGTTCCCGGAGGAGGCTGTGCTTCCTAGTTCTGTGAGTCCGTAACTCCGACTGGGCCTGATCCAATCTTCAGTTCTGCCATTTACGTCCAAGAAGAGCCCAGACTGATGTAAAAACAGCTGTCTTTGTGGGTTTGAGATAAAATATGCTCAGGACTGCGAACTGCTTTTCTCGTCCAGGGTGTAAAGAGAACCGCTGGATTGATGGAGACGAGATGACAGCGCTCAAACGAGTGCCCTAAATTTAGCAGAAGAAATAAGGCGTGTGCGCCCATCACTGCCTGTAAAAGTGAATCAGCTTAGGAATAAGTTTTGAATTTAGTTTTGTGCTGCAGGAGCAAACACGGCCAAGAGTTCGGGCTGTTTTAAGGTTCTGGAGCCCTTACCGTTCCAAACAACCTTGTTTGCTGCTTATTTTCATGATGAACAGAAGGAAAGTAGCTCAACAAAACTTGCAGGGCAATTTGCTGCAGGGAAACTGAGTCAGGTTGGCTGCGCCAGGCAATCCAGCAGGTGCCTCCCGTCTCCACTGCCTGTAGGAGTAGAGTCCCTGCCCTGCCTGGCCATCAGCTTCTGCCTCTGGGAGCCTGGAGCTCAGCAGGCTGGAGGCTGAGGCCCTGGGTCACCCAGAGCCTGTGGGGCCAGAGGACCCTGACTCTGCATTTCGGGGCTGTGCCTACTCCTGCCTGTCTGCTCCTTGACTGCACATTCGTTCCTCCAATCTTATGGGCTCTCCCTAAGTGTTTTTCCAGAATACTGTTCCTCTGTGGGCCATCTTGATTTTCTTGCTGACAATTAAAAAACCATTGCTGCTTCACACAGGCTACAGAAGAGCTTCCGTAAACCATGTTGTTGCCCCGGGTCTGTCTGTCATGCCCACGCCAGCCTTGCCCAGCCTGCACAGGCCAGCCCTCCAACAGCAAGGTCCCGAGTCCCCAGACCCCTCAGAGGTATAACGCCCTCCAGAGGGGCGGCTCTTTTTCACGTTATGCAGCGTAGCTGAGCTGTTCTGCTGAGCTGCTGTCTCCAGCGACTCTGTGTAGAGCAGGATTCTAGCCAGCCTCTGCACATGCTGCTTTTCACTGAACCAAAGACCAGCTTGACTCTCAGGGCGAATTCTGTTTCTCCCCAGTGGGAAAACTGGCAGCTTTAAGGTATCAGTTTGCCCTGCTGGTAGCTCTAAGATGTCATCCTGGGGGAATCAGAGGGCAGTTCGCCCTCCATGGACCTCCCACTGCCGCCATCTTGGATCGCCATCTTGCCCCAGAGAGGATGAGTCTGGTTTCTTAACACCCAAGGTTGCTTCCCTTCCCTGAGAATCCAGTGGCTCTTTGGCCACTGCTTCCTGCTTTATCCCCAGGTCACATGACACTGTCATCATCCTGGTCTCCTGCTTCTTTCTGTGCTCAAGCAGAAAGTCAAGGCCGCAGAGAAAATCCAGAGAGACTGGCTTCTTTCTTGGCCTGTGGGTCCTTCTAGGCATCTGGCCCCCTTCAGCAGCAAGGTGGACAGGCTAATGGAAGCATGTCTGCAGCTGGGTGGTCTGAAGCTTGCTGACCACTGCAGGCCAAGAATACACACAGGCAGGAACAGCAGGAGGTGCTGGGGAGCAGTGGGAGCTGGCCCTGCCCCTGCATCCCAGGGGTTGGCAAGGGAAAGGGGCTGTCACCCGGGGCCAGTGACCTAGCCCCTAGAGATGAGATCCACACTCAGGCAGGCCACTGGCCCTGGGTCCCGTCAACCTGCAAACAGGGGCCTCACCGGGGCTGGAGTGGAAAAAGGGGCCAGGGATGCGTAGCCAGTGGCTGGAGGGAAACCCAGAGGAGGCCGTGCGCCACCAGGAAGTTTGTGAGAGATCAGTGGACAGGATCTTAGAGTCACGGAGTGCCACCCTGGCACAGCACCCGGAACCACCCAATTGTGTGTGATCCAACAGGTGCCATCCAACCCTGCTGGGTACCACCTGGCAGCAGGGATCCAGTGGAGGCGACAGCACAATCAGCTCCTCACAGAGAGGAGCCGCAGTGTGGTGGGAGGAGGGGGCTCTGGCCCAGTCATCGCAGCCAGTGGTGCGCACAGAGCAACGGGATCTGCACAGAGGGCACAGTGCAGTGAGCTAAGACCTGCAGGTGGCACAGGACTGAGCAAGGTGACAGGGAGGGCCTGGAAAAGTAGACGCATGTGCAGAGGGCCTGTGCTGGAGGCCTCTGGATCTTGGAAGCAGCCTCCATGTCCACCAGCAGGAGAAAGAATAAAGAATGTGTGGTCTGTGTGCAAGACGGAGTACTACTCTGCCACGAAGAGGGATAAA